ATATATGAAGAAACTGATGTACAATCAGTAAGAGTCTTCTTAAATGTGTCTTTTGTGGATTTTCTCCATCTTCCTGCTAAGCAGCAAAAGGCATTTTTAGGTTTATATAAACACATTCTTTACAACTGCCTTATTAACAGAAAATTAGTATATAAATAGCACTGGGCATTTAGTAGATAAGTCACAGGCCAGTAAGTTCAATTGTGCAGTTGTGAAATCTATTGTGAAAGAGTTCTTGAAACCTTAAGACTGGGTGATCTGCAATGTTTCCAACATGTCTTCGACTGCCTTAAGAGAGTATTTGGTTTCCTTCTTACTTCGACCTGCAAACTAATTTAGGAAAAAAAAAAAAAAAAAAAAAAAAAACTGCAATTAGGCTCAATTTCAATGGCAGGCTCAAAATCACAATCTTACCTTTGCATTGTTAGGCAGACTTTAACTATTTTATCACTAGCATGAAATCAGGTATGTTCTTTTTCTTACTCTTCAATAAGAACAAAATTTGAGGTTTTGGAATTTTTCATTAAGGTCTCATCATTAGTTGAAGTATAGAAAGATTTCACTACACACTTGGCCAGTTTAAGTGTTTAAGCAGTAAGATAACCTATGAGAACACAGATTTGATTTTAAAACCATTTTCTTCAAACCTGAAAACTTTTATGAAATAAAAAATGTAATTCATAAATGAATTATAGCTTATGCTGGCCTCTAAGCAAACATACAATAAAATGTAATTTTAAATTGTAAGTAATGTGTAAAATTATTTAAAGTAGGTAATTTTTTTCAATTTTGTTTTATTAGTTACGCATTAACTAAATGACACCGTATTTCTGCAGCAAAGAGCTATTACATATTAAAATGAAGTAAGTATGCTTTAAAATAAGTGTTTCTTGTTTATTAAATTATAATTACTTTATCGAATCACATTGGGATTGGATTTTATGATGAAAAATATAATGCATCAAATATTACCTTTGTATATTTAAAAGTAAATTCATGGTATTTTAGTTCAATATAATGCATATAATCAGTTGGGGAAATGATAATGATTACCCCATGTCGATTTCAAAATGACTTTTCTAACTGGTTTGACAAGTTCCATCACTGATCAGTCTGATTTAACAAAACAGACTTACTAGACAGAAGTGTTCCTTGTGGGAGTGGGGGAAGGATTCTTCTATTACCTGTTTCCCCCCTGTTTAAAGTACTGGCTAAAACTCGCTTTTAGCAACATATAATATTTTCAAGTTAGCATCTAACCACTGAATACATTTTCAAGTGACTGCTCTTTCCTTCAAATACCAGTGCTGTCTGTCTAAAGTACTTAAGTTCTTGATTTATGATGTGTTCCTTCTCTTTTGCAATTAACTCAACTGGCAAACTTCTCTTGACCTGTTGAGAAAGATTAAGTGATCAAGCACAGGTAACATAGAAGCAACAGGCTTTAGGATGGTAACCTGCCTCTGACCCCTCTAGCTACAGATGAACATTATGATCCCCTGCTTCCTAAACCACTTGCTTCTATTGTTGAATCTTGCTTTGACAGAGTAAATAAAGGAAGTTTCTAGGGGAAATGTCAGGGAAAGGGAACAAAAGGCTTCTTATAAGAACAAGGTTATTTTGTCTTTCTTAAGACATTATTAACTTAAGGGATGCAAATGTTAAGTATACAAGTCACAATCACAAAACATGGTGGTAACAGCAACACCACATTTTAAATTGTCTTTTCATAATTTCTCTTGGAGAATAAAGGATGTGGGCTGTACTTATTACTTCTATTATCCAGTGGATAAATTCACTTTCTCAAGGACTGACCAGGAACAGAAAGCCTTTTCTTTTATGTTACCTATTCTAAGTAAACAGGAATGCTCCTCATCAGATACTTAAAAACCTAATACTAAGAAAAAACTTTGGTGGGTTCAGGAAGAGGATACAAAAAAGGTACCACACAATAATATTTACTCTAATTTTTCAAAGAGTAAAAAAAATATTCTGTAAAAGTCACAATATATATTTTAAAATACAGCATTTTGCTTTGTTTGTACTTAAACATAATCAAAATAATAGTAGAAGTTTGTGATCTTTTTAAAAAACAGCTAAATTTTTAAAAAATCACCTAAGACTGTATCAACACGACTGATACCAGTGAAATTTAGAATAAGCCAAACTAACTTATTTGTGTCAAAACAAATAAAAAGAAAGTTGGAAATATAAATCTATCACTTTAAATTGTGTCTGACATGCAAGTATTCTGTCTATTCCAGAATTACATGGCAATTTAACTGATTAAGCTGAAATCCCATTTTTTCCTCAAATCATGATTTTAATTTTCTATTTCCCAAAAGGCTAGTAATCGAATTACCTCTGCCATCATAGACAGCAGACGGACAATAGCATCAAAGAACTGTCCCAAGTGCCACAGAAGCATTTATCTGGGAAATTATTGTGAGCAGGTCCACATTCAAGTTTTTCAAGAGCATTAATCAAACTTGCCTGCCTTTACTGAACATGCTAAACCAATTACCTAATTAAAGAGCAAGTAGTAGTCATATTCTGTTTCATTATTAAGCAAAAATAAGGAAAGAAAAGCAGTTCTTAAAACCTCATTTTCTCCAATTTATAAATACTTATAAAAGCATTACAATAAGGAATATGTATGATATACTTTACGCTAGTTTATATGCCTAGATGGGAGCTCCGGTAGCGTAGTGCCTAAGGCACTTGACTGCTAACCAGAAGGCTGGCAGTTCTAACACACCAGCCCTCCTTGGAAGGAAGGTTGGGCAATCTACTTCCATAGTGATACCGCCTCAGAAATCCAAGGAGGGGTCACTATGAGTTGGGTCCGACTCGATGGCACATAACAACAACAGCAGCAAAATATGCTTAGCCATGAGTCATGAAATTCACAATCAGATCTCACTTATCTAATTACTGAAATATCAATCTCTGAAAGTTATACTTTTCTACATTATTAAGAAATTCAGGACTTTTTTTTCCCATCTATTTAGATGTAGCATAAGTAAACAATTCTCTTATAATTCTCTGGTGGAGCAAAAAGGAAACTCACCAAAAATAATGCAAAAACACTCAAATAATAAAAACTAACCTTTCAGCTTTATAAATCCAACATCATGACAGCTGGAATAAGCTGGACTAAACTTTACCATTGCATGAGTCACAGAAAGTAATATAACCAGGCAAATTAACATGGAGAGAGAATGGATGAATCTCAGAAACATTATACTGAATGAAAGGAACTAGGCATCAAAGAGTACAAATCTATGGTTCCATTTATATAAAGTTCTATTAACAGGAAAAACTATAGTGATGAAAATTCAATCACTGTTTGGCTGGAATAGGAGGTGGAGTTGACTGCAGGGTGGCATGGCAGGTGGGAACTTTCTGGGGTGACAGAAATGCTTTTAATCTTGACTGGGGTGAGGCTGACAGGGGTGTATATATCTGTCAAAACTCAAACTGTGTATTTACTATATGTGCATTTTTATTGTATGAGTGGTGCAGTGAATTACTTGGTATGGCTTTTCTAGCCAGTTTTTGTTACTCCCACCAGATTACTGGATGGAACCATGCAAGTAAAATGTATGGAACTCTAATGGGAGAATTAGTTTTCCTATTCTGCTGAGCTTAAAATGACTCCTCCTGGAGACAGAAATGGAGATCTCACTGCTATCAAGAGAGAAGAGCGGAGGCGAAGTGGAGCATGTCCTTGGACCCAAGATCCTTGCACCAGATCTCCTCGGCAGACGACCGGCTGAGACGACCACAGAGGAAACAAGAGGCACGAGACAGAGCAGCAAGCTCGCTGGCCCACGGAGTGAGAAAGCCGAGTGCTTTTGAGCAAGAAGCTTGCTGGAGAAGTGGCGTGCACACAGGTGTACCTATCAGCAGAGCTAAAAGAGCTTTGTAACACACCTGCCTGAGCAGGGAAGAGGCCAGGCCCAGAAGCCAAGGGCCAGAGAGGCATGCCTGAGGGCATAGCAGAGGGGAGACTGTCCTGATTGAAGAACTGTACCCTGAGTGCATTCCTGAGACTGAATTGTAGCCTGTTACTTTCCTAATGAACTTCATAATCGTGAGTACTGTCTGTGAGTTCTGTGCGGCTACTGCAACAAATTATCAAACCTAGCAAAAAAGTAGCGAGTGCCATGGGAAGGACAGTTGCTGTCAGAATTGGTAAAGTTTAGGAGAGTGGGAGCATGTTTGACCTCATAAGGAATAAGCTTTGGGCTGCTGATGGTGGTTCTGTCTTCCTGTTGTGAAGTTAGAGAGGGTCAGAAGATGCTGCCCCAACACCCTTTCTGCAGTATGTCAATTGATCTCAATAAAGTTGATAAAAAGAGAAAGACAAAACCATAAAAGAAGGCTGAAACTACTGCTGCAGTCATAGAATAGTGGAATAAATTGCCAAATGATCATAAATGTTTCCCTTCCTATTGAGAGGGAATAACATCCTTTGAAGGTGGTCCGACCATGTGGCTTGCTTCGACCAACAGAATATTAGCAAAATGTGACATAACCAGAAACAAGTGAACCCAGCTGAGAAAAGCAAAATTACTCAACTGAGCTCAAGCCAAACTGCCAGCCTTGTACAAAATTATAAGCAACTAAAGCATTGTTATTTTAAATGACTAAGCAAAAGCTAAAGGATACAAACACTTATAGGATCTGATTCACAAAAGGAGAATGTGAAAACCCTGAAGCAGCACAGAATATGAAAGTTACAAAAGCAACATGAGATTTTATTTAAAACTTGTTATCAGCATCCAGAGGCAAAAACAAATTTTCCATGAATGAGTGATTCCCAATTGAGGAAGACTGGAATTGGCTATACAGAAATCTTGCATGACCGAGTGATGTGTTACCTTTCTACAGTGGTGTGCAAGATTACAGAGAAACCATCAAGAAAAACTCCCTGTATTAACCTTTACAGTGGAATCAAGCAAAGGCAAATCCTAGGTACAGTAAAGATGTACAAAGCACATGTGGGTTTTATGTCATGCATAGTGCAGAAACTCAGACTGAAGAGTGATGCTCTCAGAGCTCCTCCCAAAGAACACTGAAACCTTACAAAACAAGACCAAAGAGAATAGCAAGGGAAGAAATGTTACTTAGTATACCAGAATGATGGATTCATGTCTAGTGGTAAAGTATCTCATAAGGCAGTGAAGTATGTTTGCCTAGAGACCTTATCAAGGGGACCTTCTATCACTGAATAGACAGGGAGAAAGAAAAACAAAACAAAATTCTGAGTTTATTTACTATTGGGAGACTTAGGTCTGAAATAAAATGAGAAATAAGCAGGGGTAGGATGTCAGTTGTTCACATGGGAAAATAATTAGAAAGGGAGTTGGGAACTATAATTACAGCTTCAGATACATTTATAGCTGACATCTCTTTACAGAGGCAGTACATATGGCAATTAGGAGCACCAACTCTCAACTCAGGCTGCTTGTGTTTGAAAGCAGCTCTGTCCTTAACCAGCTGTGTCACCATGGGAAAGTTATTTAAGCTTTCTTTGCCTTATTTTCCTCATTTATAAAAGTGCCTTTCCCATAATAAATACTTTATTAATGTTTGCTGTTTTAACTGTTGTTACTGTTAATTCTTCTTCTTCCAATAATCTGAGGAGGCCAATAAAGTAAACTTAAACCACATGATAACATACAATATTATATACCACCTAATAGGCAAGAAGTGAACATAACAGCAAATGTAATGCATATTACTGTAACCTAGCAAAGATAATGTATTAACTCTTTCAATCCTCAGAATACTTTTATTATGCCTACCTTATAGGTGAGAAACTAGGCCAGAGATATCTAATCTGTCTAAGGCCACATAGACAATAAATTAAAGAACCAAAATTTTAAATGACCCAATCTAGCATCTGTGCTCTTCCTACATTTTATTAGCTTCCATGGAACAGGACTCATGGTAAAATACAAAGATGGACAAAAACACTCTGACCCCTATTTCATATTATAAAGGAAGACCAATGAAAAACTGATACATTTGGTGTTGGTGAAGAACACCAAGTACAGCCTGGACTGCCAGAAGAACAAACCAATCTGTCTTAGAAGACGTACACCCAGAATGCTCCTTAGAAGCAAGGATAGTGAGACTCTGTCTCACTTACTCTGGACATGTTATTAGGAGGGACTAGTCCCTGGAGAAGGACAGCATGCTTGGTAACAAAGAGGGTCAACAGAAAATGAGGAAGGCCCTCAACAACATAAACTGACAAAGGGGTTGTAACAATGGACTAGAACATACCTACTATGGCATAGGACTGGGCAATGTCTTATTCTGTTATACATAGGGTCACTACAAGTTGGAAACTCAATAGCACCTAACAACAACAACAACTCTAAAATCATATATAAAAAGTAATTCCACGTGGAATGTGGATCTAGATGTAAAAAGTGAAAGAATAAAAATTCTAAATACCTACTAGATTATCTTTATGACCATGGAATAGCAAGCAATTTCTTAAATAGAACAGAAAACACACAAACCATAGAGGAAAAGACCAACACTTGTGTAGTGGTAACAGAAACAAGTAAAAGGGGACAACCTACCAGTCTACAAAAAATAGAAATGAAAAAATTCTGAGTACTTATTCTCCCAAACAAGAGGGCCTGGGTTGATGAATTTGGAAAGGACCTGCATAGTGGGGAAGTCTTCATAGGTTCCCAAAGGAAAGCATAAAAATTTGCATGTAAATGTGAGAATAAACAAGTCTAATAGTATAAAACCTCAAAATCTCAGAAATATCCAGCAAATGCTCCATTCAAAAACGACAAAACTTCAAACCCTAAAGGAAAATTAATGGAAACGGAAACCAAATTAAACAGTGCAGAGACACTAAGGATAAGAGAGAGAGAGCGATAATTCAGATAAGGGAGGAAAGGAAGAGGGTGGTGCCTAAATGTAGCAAAACCTAGAAAAAAGAATCATAGCAACAAAATACAACAGTTAAAGCTGACAGCAGCACCTCTGAATTCAAGACCTGCAGAGCTCTACGGGTGGAGCCAGAAAATCTTCCTGGGCCAGACCTAGTCCAGAGATAAACTACATGCACAGAGAGGTCATATTTGAGTATGCTGTAACAAAGCACAGGAAGGCACTGAAAAATCAAGCTGAAAAAAGCTACCCTACACATTTCCACTGTGCATCTGTTTCCATAAAAGTCTCCTCCCAGTAGTCCAGGAAAGCTAACTCATTTAAATGTGGAGGAGAAGAAAAAAAGTATGTACTAATTCCATAAACAACTACTATAGTGAAAAATAAAATACAGAAAAGAATTTGAAAGAAAATGGATGATCTAAGAGACCGGAAAAGGAGATCCAATATAATTATAATTGGAAGCCCTGAAAAAGAAAGCTAAGGCAATTAAATAGAAAAAAATATTTATAATTATTTTTCTAAAACATTTTCCTCATGTAAGAAAGGACTGAATCTACGTATTAGAAAAGTTCATGTAACATGTACTTGGGAAAACTGACTCAAGAACAATCAACAAAGGATATCATAGTGAAACTACTAGATTTAAAAGAAAGAGAAAAAAAAAAAACTTTTGGTCTATCAGACACAAAGTCTAAGTTCTTCATGAGAAAGAAAAGCAAGATGGTATCAAATTTTTTTATAGCAACATTTTTTTTCAGAAAACAATGAAACAATATATTTAAGATAATTCAGTAATGTAAATGAAAACCAAAGACTGTATAATCAAACTATCTTTCAAATACGAAAGCTACAAACAATTATGAACAAGCAAAAAGTGATATTTATTCCCCCATAACCCCTTCTTCAATAATCTCCTAGGAATCAAGCTTCAGAAAACTACAAAACGGGTGGAGAAGTTTTAGCGTAAGGTCTGAAGAGTAAGCGAGCATACGGAGTTGGTTATACAGTCTGTAGCTTAATACCTAGTTAGTTTAGTTTTAGGCTATTCTTACTCATTTTTTTTTAAATTGTTGATATACCACAGATTATATACTCACATATCTAATATGCTCCTGAAATACATCATGCCAATTTGTGAATCTTATTGGATTTTTATAGCTACTGTTTATATGCCCAGTGCAGGACTACTGAGATTTCCAGATGGCAAAAAGGCTAACTGTGGGATCATAATAATAAACTCCTTTTGAGGAATAAACAAAAACAAAAACATTATTCTAAAACTATAAATTAATTTTACAGTTAAAACACATTTCATAACAAGGGACAAGGTTGTAGTCACTTCTTGGCCACAGTCAGCTATCCAGAGGCAGCGAATAGTTAGAACTGTGGGTTTATGACCATAGTCACAGGGAACATCAAGCTCAACTGGCATAACATACTACATAAAAACATTGTTCCACATCCTACTGTGGCGAGTAGTGACTGGGATCTTGAAAGCTTGCAAGCACCCATCTAGATGCATCTCTCCTTGTCCAGAGCAAAGAAGAATGAAGAAAAACAAGGATGCACAGAAACAATTAGTCCAAGTGACTGGTACACCATGTGATCCTCAGTGTATATGACTATGAGACCAGAAAAACTAGATAGTGAGTGGCTACCACCATCCACCACTCGAAGGGGAATTTATGTAGGAGATCCTGGACAGAGTGGGAGAACAATGTGGAACAAAACTCAAAACCATTTAAAAAAAAAAGGACCAGTTTTGCTGGTTTGATAGAGCCTGATGGCACCCCTGAAACTATGGCACCTAGCTGCCCTTCAGGTCTAAAATTGAACCCAGTCCTGTGGCTTCCAGCCAAACAAAAGACAGGCATATGAGTGGAACATTTACATTAGGTAGACACACTCCTTGAAGAGATCAATCATGGGAGAATAGAAGGGCTGTGTATGCACAGGGAGACAGCTCCTGGGGGCAGGAGTGCATGGGAAAGAACACAGGGAAGAGGTAGCTATGGGGAGGAAGTTGGAGGATAGCTGTTGCATTGTGGAGATTATAGTCAATGTCATGAGACAAAGTGTTATGTGAACCACTGTATGGAAGGTGAAACTGCTGTATGGAAGATGCATTTGCTCTGTAGATTTTCACCCAAATCACAATAAAAGTGAACAAAAATTTAGGGGGGGTGGGGGAAACACATTTCCTAAAAGCCCAATGGCATAACCATCCACTGACAGATACCTGGCTCCACAGTTTACAGAAACGAAATTAACAACTAAGAAATAACAATTAGGTGGTTGACCTATACAATAACATGAAATTATCAATACTAACCTGATAAGCTCTGTTTATTTGACTAGCTGCCCAAGTAGCATATTTCATGTTGTCCTTTTTTGTTTTTGCACTTGCTTTTGGATTCGAAGCAATATGACTTGCAGACTAAAAATAAAAAAGAAACATCAGAACACAATTCCTTGTTCCAGTCAAGATAAAAAGATGTAAGGATAATGGTTATGATGTGATAGTAGGAAGATTTTTAAAAATTATACCAAAATAAATTTAAAAATGAAATTACTGTTTAAAAAGATGGAAATGTATTTTAAATTACAGTATAATTGAATGAAATGAAAAAAGACACAGATACATTAATTAGTATCTATAAGTATTATGAATCTGCCACAGCTCTTAAAGGTAAAATCTCATATCACTTAAATAAAGTAAAGAAAGCATGTAAGAGTACATTATAAATCAAAGTGCACTTTACTACTTTCTTGTTACTAAACTGTTTCAGCTTCCCTATGTCAGAATTACAGAATTATTTCATATTAATAGAAGGAACCTCAAAAATAACTTAATTCAACTTCCTATATGAAGAAGTGAAAAAATTTAAGAACAGGAGCAATGTGACTTAACCAAAGCAAGTTAATATAAATCTTAGAAAGTGTCCCTAAACTCCATCCATTTCTCTTTGCACTATGCCAAGAGTTTTCAAACTCTGTTCTTAGAACTGACTGATTACTCACTAGAACCCTGCAATATGATCCACTCTCTTCTTTTTAAAAATGGACTTAAAGTTGGGATTCTTAATCTGGGATACATGAAAGAATCTGTGAACCCCTTAAAAAGCCCCACAGCTGTCGAGTCGATTCTGACTCATAGTGACCCTATGGGACAGAACAGAACTGCCCCATAGGGTTTCCAAAGCTATAAATCTTTACAGAAGCAGACTGCCTCATCTTTCTCCCAGGAAGCGGCTGGTGGTTTCAAACCGCTGACCTTTTGGTTTGCAGCTGAGCACTTTAAGCCTGTGCCACCAGGGCTCCTTAAATCCCCAAAAGTATATTTTAATTTTCAAACATACATTTTATACCTCTTTCATCTGTGTCTCTACTCTACTAATGAGGAATCTGTGTAACAAAATCAGATTGTACAACTCTGTATTTAATGTTACCTTTTTGGTTTAATGTCACTTTTTTGGGAAAAGCAATCCAGTGGTTAAGAACATGCCTGTGGAGCCAAATGCCTGAGCTAGAATCTTCTGTCTCCATCCTTAGGCAAATTAATTAAGTCTCTCTGGTTCTTTTTCAGGAGCCCTAGTGGCACAGTGGTTAAAGTGCTCTGCTGCTAAGTGAAAGGTTGGTGGTTCAAATCCACCAGCCACTCTGCAAGAGAAAGATATGGGAGTCTGCTCCCATGAAGATTTACAGCCTTGGAACCCTATGTGACAATTCTATTTTATCCTACAGGGTCACTGTGAGTTGGAATCAACTCAATAATAGCAGGTGTAGGGTTTTTGGGTACTGTTTCACCATCAATAATAATAACAGTACTTATTCAAATAGCTGCTAACGTGATGATTTGATGATTAATATAGAGTTCAGAACAATGCCTGGCACATACAATGCTATGTATAAACTATTATTAATAATTCGTTATGTATTTTTAATTAGTATTTGACAAAGAGACATAGCTACTGTATTGTATTTTCAAGGTACTACAATTGCCTCCAGTAGAATCCAAGAAAATTGTCTTAAAATTCTAATTCAAATTTTGCCACTTATTTCTTGAAAATGATTTCATTTATACTTCTTCCTGCCTCCATTTCTTCCATCAATTCCTTTTTGCTCAGCTCCAACAAGAGCATACACATGACAAAATAAATAAATAAAAAGTTCAAGAGAAGACTCAAATAAATCAAAATTTAAAGAACTGGCCTACTACAAAAAAGTTTATTTTCCCAGCCTCTCTGCTTGCAAAGGGGCTCATTTTATGTGTATTTTAAAGCTCAGCAAATTCTTCCTCTGTTTCCCATAGCTGTTACTGACTTCTCTAAGCTCATCATTTGGCACACATAAACAGTAAAACACTTAATTACATATTTTCTACAATTTCCATACTGTTTTTCTATACCATAAAAATGGTATAATATGAAATATGAGAACTTTCATTTCTGTATGTCATTTACTGGGAGAATACAAAATATTTCATATGAGTGTACTGAAGGTAAGACATACAATAATGTCAGGCATAAACCCAAGACTATCAAAACAATTTTAAAAATATGTAATATGGTTTTCTTCAATTAAAAAGCAGTCTTCAATTCTGATAGAATAAAAGATATTTTACAATGAACTACTAAACAACTAGAGTGTATTAACATCAAAAAATAAAACTGCCTTACAACATATTGCCATATTAACTAAAGGAAACAAAATTAATACACTCATCAATGAAATATAAAACACAAAAAAGGAGAGATTGGAGAGGACAGTTCATGGATTTTAAGAAACAGAATTAACGAAATAACATTAAACATAAACTCAACTCACCATGTAAAGCCCAAATAAAGCTCTCATATTTCTGTTGTTTAGTTTCAATGATTGTGCAAAATACTTTCTTGAAAGTTCGAGATTTTCAAGCCCACCTTGGGTGTATTTAACCTGTTAAAATCACAGAGTGCTGAAACCTGTTTATTTAACTACTTTGAAATAGAGCACGTTTCATCATACCATAGGCTTTAGCAATTGCAACAGATATTCTGTTAACAAGTGCAAGATGTTTAAAGAATTCATCTTAAGGTTGTTAAAGCTAATTTAAATTTGAAAACATACACCCTCCCCCACCAAAACCATTTTATTTTATTAATACAATTCTATTAATAATAAGATCACTGAGTTCTTCTTAAAAATAAAATGCTGCCACAATAAAAAAAATCATTACAATTTCTATTTTCAACTACTTTGCAAATGCTTCAAGACACTGTATCTTCTATTACCAGCATTACAAATCTAGACTTGGATACTAGAATGTCATCTCTAACTGCACTGACATTCCTTAATACTGAAGTCTTTCTAACCTTATGACATTCAATTAATTTGCTATTATTTGCTATTGCTATGAAGCAGATGCCTACTGGATAAAACAAATTCTTTTATCTGAATTAACGTTTAATAGTAAGCAAATAAAATATGTCCTATATCTCCAAATAACCTTAACATGAATTTCCTAGAATTTAGATTGAAAAATTATAATCATTGTAAATGTCTTAGAAGCCTTTTAATGATGACAAAAGTGGCAATTCATAGGATTGAAAACAGTAAACAAATATAAAAATATATAAAGAATTTCATTACTTACTTAAAGTAAATAAAGTAAACTGTCAATGGAAAAGTATTTCCACTACCGTATTAAAAATTTAAAACTTTTATTCCCACAACTCAACTTTCAACAGATGTGTTAAATATTTATATACTTCTCTAACATGAAGGAAATATTTTCAGTTCCATAATAATACCCAGCAGCCATAAAATTACGTGCATTGTTGTTTCTGAGAACACTTACTTCAGCATACTGCTGACAGTATAAGTGGTTATGGGGATTAGTCATCATCAGCTCTTCTAAACAAAAGGCTGCTTTGGCATAGCTGAAAAGTATTAAGAAGAAAAATTATTTTTAGAAGTGACAAATATTATCTCAGCTACCCCTTAAAATATAATTTTACAACAATTTAATGATGCTAGACATTTTGTCCCCAAAGTAATTTAAGTAGCTTTATTAATGAAGTACTTACCATCGTGAATTCATAATGACCAAACTTTAAATTTTTAAATAAAAATTAGTAAACAAACATAGGCTTAAATCTTCAAGAGGTTAAGAGCAATCAACAGAGAGCACATTCTAAATATTAGGTCACTACTATGAAATCCAAATATTAATAGCATAGGCTTCCAGACCTTATATACGTTACATGTAAAATAACTTCTGAAGTCCACCAATCGCTTAATAAAACATTTAAATACCTAAACTGTAAGGTGAAAATAAGTATTTTATTAAATACTCTATTTACTAAACAGAGTCCCTGTGTGGTGCAGTTAATGTGCTCGACTGCTGACCCAAAGGTTAGAAGTTCTAGCTCACTCACAGGCTTCTCAGAAGACAAACTTGCTGATCTACCTGCAAAAACTCAGCCATTGAAAACCCTATGGAGCATAGTTCTGCTCGACACACATGGGATCACCATGAGTCAGGATCTACTTGGCAGAAACTAGTTAACACACTCTACACTTTGGGATTTACTAATATATTCTACCACAAAGATTTCTCATTATTAAATTTAAAATCTAATATGAAATTATAAATTTCTAAATGCATGAAATATAAGATCCTTAGTTGTTTTGAAATGTACTCTACTACTGTGGTAGAGAAACAAAAAACTTACTGAAACCAAAGGAAAGAATTGCTGGAAAAGGCTTTGGAAAACGGTTTAAAACCACATGATTTTAATTGACCATAATATATTTTATATGGTTAAAGCCATGTGAATATCCTCACTATTCAGAGGAAATTCTAAAGAACACAGGTGTTGTAAGATTTATTCCCAGTGAGGAGGTGATGATAGAACTTAGCAGTAAAAGGCTACCTAAAGATATTTTGGCATTTGGCACCAATATATCTCGATGTCTGATATACTTACTTTCCCAGTATACATGTGCTAGTTTCACACACGTGTACAGATTAGTAATAGGTAAATTTCAGTAAAGGCTTATTATGTATCAAGCAACTGCTCTAAGGGCTTTATTTACATCTATTAACTCATTTAATACTTACGACCCCAGGAAGTAGGCAATTATTACCACCATTCTATAGTTGAGATGAAATCTCTGGTAGTGCTATGGTTAAAGCACTAGGCTGCTAACCAGAAGGATGGTGTTAGAACCCACCAGCCACTCTGCATGAATATGATGAGGCAGTGTGCTTCCGTAAAGATTTACAGCCTTGGAAAACCAAAGGGGCAGTTCTACTCTGTTCTGTAGGGTCCTATGAGTTGGAATTGATTTGATAGCAGTGGATTTTTTGGGTTACAGTTGAGATCACTGAAGCACAGAGCTATAATTTGCTTGTTACATAGTAAGGACAGAGCAGAGATCCAGCACTGGAACCCAGGGAGTGTGGCTCTAGAGAGCCTGTGTTCTGCACCACTTTGCGCACTGCTGCTGCTGTTATATGCCGTCGAGTCGAACCTGACTCATAGCGACCCCTCCTTGGGTTTCCAAGGCAGTATCACTACGGAAGTAGATTGCCCCGTCTTCCTTCTGAGGAGTGGCTGGTGGGTTTGAACTGTCAGCTTTCAGGTCAGCAGTCAAGTATCTTAGGCACTATGCTACCAGAGCTCCCTTGCATACTGCTACTGTGCAATAAATATCACAATGAAAACTCTTAAGCATATAAAATGGGTATAGCAGCTTAATCCAAAGGGCCTGAGGGGCAAAAATCGCTCTGCAAATTACGCTAAGGGTTTAACATTTTAACTAGCTTCATAACCAAAAGAGAGTTTTAACAGATAAAAGGCAGGCTGACCACAGTTATCATTTCCTCTAAAAGGGAATTATTTTTCACGTGCTTTTCTGTTTTCATATTTCTTGATCTTTCAGGTCATATCTCTTAAGTATATATTCAACTCTATCTCAATAAACTCTCAGAGATAGCAAACAAAGCAAAACTAAATATAGCCACTATAGAGTAAAGCCAAAAAAAGTAATGATAGGTTAAAAATAAAATATAATCTAAAATTTAAAAACAAAATATAGAAATATCACAAAACACATGAAAAAATCATGAAACAAACACAATGAAACCCACTGCCATCAAACTGATTCCAACCCAGAACAACCCTAGAGGACAGATGAGAACTGCACCATAGGCCTTACAAAGGCTGCAAATCTTTATGGAAGCAGACTGCCACATCCTTCTCTCAGGAAATGGCTGGTAGGTTCAAACTACCCACCTTCTGGTTGTCAACCTAATGTTTTAACCACTGCACCACTACGGCCCCTTTAAGAGAGCACAAGACATGACAGCCATAAAAAAAAAACTGATAGATCTATCTGATTACCTAAAAATGTAAAGTTTCTGTTATTTTTTTTTTTTAATCAATATTAAAAAGGCATATAACAAACAAGGATGCATTTTTTGACAGCACAATGCTTGATACCCTTAATGCAATAAAACTTACAAAATCCAGAACCTCTGTAAAGTGGAAACCTGTCAGAAAAGGATAAGTCAAACATTTTCTAGAGAGAGAAAAGTGGTACAATTACTTCCTGTCAAAAGCAGAGGACTTGTGAGATCTGGAAAAAGAAGGAAGTCCTGTTAAGTTGTGGTTCTCACAGGTTTCACTGTATGTATAAAGAGCTTTGAAAAATGAAAAAAGATGTAACCAATTTTTGGCTATCAAATTTGCAAATATTACATTCCTGTTGTCAAGCTGTATGTAGGCACTCTCATAATTGCTGTGTTGTCAATAAAAATTATATTACCTTTCTAGGGAACAATCAGGAACCATTTATCAAAAACAATGAAAATATGTCCATCATTTAATCAAGCAATGCCACATCTAAGAATTTAACCCAAGTAAGCAATTAAAATAAAGATGACCAGTACAGCATTAAAGCAGAATTTTAAAAACAATCTTATATCCCCCTGGAAAACTGGTAAAGAATAAGAGGGTATATTGATAATAGATAGGGTATACTGAATAATACAGTGCCATTAAAATCACATTGGAGAATGTTTATTGTGATGAGGGATTTCTGACAAAATATAACTAACTGAAAACATAAGCTACAAAAGGTAATTATAATGTGAGTTTTTGTCTATTTAAAAAGGTATGGAATACCAAAGATGAAATATAAACTCTAGCTAATTTACCATAATGGAATTATAGGTACTTTTTTTCTGTAGCTCTGTGCTTTATTGGGTTATCCAAAATTTCCGCATCAAGAACCTTTTTTAATTTAAAAAAAAAAAAGGCTTCCTTGATGATCTGAAATGTTTTTAAGTGCTTTTAATCACAAGATCTTCCAAAAGCATAAATAAATTTTAAATGACTGCTATTTGTCTTAGAGGAGCTCTAGTAGCGTAGTACCTAAGGCACTTGACTGCTAACCAGAAGGCTGGCAGGTCAAACCACCAGCCACTTCTTGGAAGAAAGGTTGGGCAATCTACTTCCGTAGAGATACTGCCTTGGAAACCCAAGGAGGGGTCGCTGTGAGTCGGGACTGACTCGATAGCACATAACAACAACAACAATTTGTCTTAGGGACAAAATAATGTTAACTTCTTAACTGCATTCTGAAAATTCAGTTTCATGTTATTTAAATATATGTACTATATGCTGTACACTTTGTTGGTTTCAAAATTATGAAAAAATATAACATTACCAATTAAACCAAAGGTACTGCCACCTTCACGTGCTTAAGAGGATCATGAGGAAGCTAACATACGTGTACATACAAGCATATATGTATCTATACTGAATGTGATTCAGGAAATAATTTCCTAACTAAAAACAGAGAAATTAACACCCAGAGTACAGAACTACAGAACAGTTCATTACATGACAGCTGTTATTTTTAGTTTATCTCACATTTTTATTAGGATTATGCAGATAACTATCTTAATTTTACATTGTACATTATATATATATATATAAGCCTAGGGAAAGGCAAGAGAATAGTGCCTTCATTCTATTTTATTTCCTGTGTCAGCCATTAGACAAAGCTAGCTATTCATGAACAATAAGAATATGGTTACAACTCCCCGAAAATCTGATTCTATTCTCTTGAAAAGAAGGAAGGAAACAATGTGATATACTTCAAATTCGGCAGAAGAACTAAGGGAAGAAAAAAATCATGTCTAGATGGAGGTTAGCGTTAATGCTGTGATATTAGAAAACTTGCACTGAGACTGTGAACTAATCCTCTCACACTGGGACTTCCTCCTTTTTATTGACTACAGCAATAAAAAAGAACTAAAAAAACATTAAATATCCAATAAGCAGGTTCCTACAGCATTCAACATTCTTGATTGTTCTTGGTTTTTACCCAGGCAACAGAATCCTTCTACTTGGGAAGAGTTGATTCTCTCAGTACTAAGACTAATAAATGCATACAATTGACAGAATTTTTAAACAGCGGGGAGTATAATACTCTTTGTACATAAGAACAATTTGAATTCTAAAATTCCCAATTTTGATTCACCAAAAATAACCTTGGCTTAGCAATGCGGGCCTTTCTAATTCTAAAGAATGCATCTGTATTTGAAAGAAAAACTTATTTCCCAAGCAAAAATAACATAGCAAAACACAAATGACCTACTTAAGCTATTCACATCTTCCGACCAGCAAATTACTGGAATTTTTTTAAATTTAATTACTGATTTATTTCCATTTTATTTAAAATGACATCTGACTCACACCTTCTCACCACTCCTTTGGGAATCACTATGCCTTCTGAACTATAGATTGAGGAAAAATCACACGCCTAACACAATTTTATGTGTGATTAACAACTTACTCATGTTCATTGATATAAAGTTCTGCAAGTTCATGCCAAGCTTCTTGGTCTCTAACAAATCTGACGGGAGAAAAGGAAAAAAAAAAGAGTTAAGTGTGTAGATAAATGAACAGCATGAAGGTAAAAAGGAAAATTGAATGCAAATTCCATTTTAATTAAAAAAGATTTATCAGAATAACAAAACACAATCCTCTTGCAAAACACTCACTGTTCCAGATACTCATTCAGCTCCCGAATGGCCTCCACATTTTTCCCCTGGGCTTTTCGAATGGCTATCTTACGCTTTCTTGCAGCCTGTGGGTTGACATTAATAAAGGATTAGAGTCTCATGATTCCCTGGGTTTTGTAAAGAAGGTAATTTGACTGTGCAAATTATTATCTCAATGCCAGTGAAATTCCATTGCAGAGCAACTGCTTAGTTGGAGTTTATAAACATACCCCATGACATCCCACTGGGTAATTCAAACAATCCTCTAACAATCACATATGCTTTACTTTTGATGTACACAATGTATGCATCGTTTCATCCAAATAAATAACCATCCAGATTCTGATAATTACAAGCCAGCAGGGAATCCTAATCTTTATCCAGCCTAAAGTCCTTTACTCTGTGTCATTCATAAGATCTGTATCTTAGCGATAGGTGGATAGTGGAGATTAGAAAAAAAATCTGTGGCCACTTGAATGTCACTATACAAGAATGGCTTCTGACAACTTTTTCAGAATATTAAGAGAAAATTTCACCTGTAAGTCTTTCAAAAGAATAATACAAACCCTAAAAGAAATATATAATAGACAAAACATTTAAAACGTGCATTTTAAAGTTTTTAAGTACTATATAAAAACCACTGTCATTTCACTTATTCATTCATCAAATATGCACTGAATATGTACTGTGAGGTACCGTGCTAAATCATGGAAATAAAAGATAGAATAGATACTTCCTAGAATAGGAGCTCAGTCTCAGGAGGGGGAGAAACACTGAAATAAAAATAATGTAGCAAGAACAGTGAAAGAGACATCTAAGATGCTGTGGCAACAGGGTGGCCTAACATGGCTGTGGGTGTGAAGAGTGGGGGATGTGGAAGAGCAGGAAACAAAGAGGATCCATCCCAAGTATGGGACTGTCTCACAGGGTCACTACAAGTCAGAATCAACTTGACAGCTCACAACAACATATTCATAGTAATTATATAATTAATAATAAATGTTATCTTTTTTCCCTTGGTTTATGTTCAACATTTATGTATTAAGTTTTGCCACAAAGTTTTAAACAGATCTTTAAGGACTGGCACAGGCTTACTTAGATATGTATACCTTGCCCCCATGCCTATACGACATGCAGCAGATAAAGAAAATATATATAATTAGAGTGAAAAGACTGCATTTGAAATGCCACAAATCAGTAAACTCAACTGTTTAAGTATTCCCCTACTAGATTTTATTAGTTCTAGGTCTTTTATGGTTTTGTTATCTCTCTCAGTATCTAGCACATTACTTTATATGGGTAAAGGAACAAAGTGTCTTTATTCCTACTAACACAGAGGTGGCTTACAACAGGTACTCAATAAATGTTGGTAGAAAGACAGGACCAAGAAAAGATTAGATCAAGATAATGCTTGATGAAAGAATACACATTTAGCAAAGCTGAATCTAGTCACCTTGTTCTCATTTACCCAACGACTAAGGGATGTGGCTACCACCACCTCACACGTACTCTAAGAGGGGAATATTCCTTTCATTAAAAGGCTCAATGTCATGAATAGCCATAAAATTTGGAAGATCCTACAAAGACAGAACAATATTCAATTATATCTTATCATAGATTCTAAAGAAGCAAAATAATTTATTAAAAATACTTTAAATTTAAATCATTTGGAGGGGAAAAAAAAGGGGGGGGACCAGGTTTGCTGGTCCGATAGAGACTGGTGGAACCACTGAGACTATGGCCCCTAGCTGCCCTTCAGGTCTGGAATTGAACACACACCTGTGATTTCCAGCCAAACAAAATACAGGCATATGAGTTAAACATTTACCTCAAGTAGACACACACCCTGGAGAGAACAATCATGGGAGAAAGAAGGGCTTTTTATGCACAGGGAGACAGCTCAGGGGGCAGGAGTGTATGGAGGGATGGACACTGGGAAGAGGTAACTATGGGGAGGAAGTGGGAGGGGAGTTGTTGCACTGTAAACTGTGGTCAATGACATGAGACAAAGTATATGTGAACTGCTGTATGGAAAGTGAATTTGTTCTGTAAATCTTCACCCAAATCACAATAAAAAAAAATAAAAACATAAAAACAAAATAAAATAAAAAAAAGAACCCGGGGGGGGGACTTTAAATTTAAACTGAGACTAAAGAAAAATATTAGAGTACGAATTCTAAGAAAATAAATTACTATTAGTTTTAACATGGTATAAGGAAAAGATACAAAACTCAGAACTTATTTTAGAAACTTCATTTCAATTTTTTCAACACTATGACTAAATGAAAAAATGAATACCTTTGAAACTATGATGAAATCTTTTAATGGAAATGAGAAAATCTTTAGAAAAAGAAAAATGATGCTTTTTGACAATATTTCTACATATGTAATTGTATGTGCTGTAAACAGAACTAACAGCACATATAACATATAAATAGAACTAACAGAGTCTGGAGACCAGGAAGTGAGCTAAGCAGTTAGGAACAACTAAGGGAGACAAATTTGTTTTTCAGTTTGTCATACAGTGGTGGCTAGCATGTTGCTATGAGGTTGGAGGCTATGCTACCGGTGTTTCAAATGCCAGCAGGGTTACCCAGCAGAGCCTCCAGACTAAGATAGACTCAGAACAAGGAAGAGGTCATCCATTTCTCAAACAACTGGACTGTGAAAACTTTATGAGTAGCAGTAAAACACTGCCTGATATATTACTGGAGAACTTTATGAATAGCCCTGAAGCACTGTCTGACACAGAGCCGGACAATGAGCCCCTGAGGGCAGCAAGCACGCAAAGCAGAGTAGGGAGGAGCTGCCTCCTCAGGGTAAAGCTGACCTTAATGACATGGAGAGAGTAAACCTTTCGGGACCTCCATTTACTGATGTGGCATGACCCAAAATTAGAAGAAACAGCTGCAAAACTCCACTTAATTGGAACATGGAATGTATGAAGTATGAATCTAGGAAAACCAGAAGTTGTCAAAAATGAAATGGAACACATAAAGACCGATATCCTAGGCATGAGTGAGCTGAATGGACTGGTGTGAGCCATTTTGAATCAGATGATATGATCTACTATGCTGAGGATAACAAATTGAAGAGTAATGGAGTGGCATTCATCATCACAAAGAATGTATCAAGATCTATCCTGAAGTACAATGCTGTCAGTGGTAGGATAATATCCATATGCCAACAAGGAAGACTGGTTAATACTACTATTATTCAAATTTACACACCAACCACTAAAGACAAAGATGAGGAAACTGAAGATTTTTACTAACTTCTGCAGTCTGAAATTGACCAAGCACACATTCAATATGTATTAATTATCACTGGTGATTGGAATGCAAAAGTGGGAAACAAAGAAGAATCACCAGTAGTTGGAAAATTTGGCCTTAGTGATAGAAATAACACTGGAGATTGCATGATAGAATTTTGCAAGACCAATGATTTATTTTTTGCATATACCTTTTTTCAACAATATGAATTGTGGCTATACATGTGGATTTCGCCAGATGGAGTACACAGGAATCAGACTACATCTGTGGCAAGAGGCAATAGAGAAGCTCAAGATCTTCAGCCAAACCAAGGCCAGGAGCTGACTGTAGAATAGACCATCAATTGCTCATATGCAAATTCAAGTTGAAGGTGAAGACAATTAAAATAAGTCCACAAGAGGCAAAATATGACCTTGATTATATCCTTCCTGAATTTAGAGACCATCTAAAGAAAAGATTTGATGCACTGAACACCAATGACCAAAAACCAGAGGAATTGTGGGATGACATCAAGCTCATCATCCATAATATAGTAAGCAAAAGGTCATTAAGAAGACAGGAAAGGAAGGAAAGACCAAAATGGATGTCAGAAGAGACTCTGAAACTTGCCCTTGAGCAGAGAGGAGCTAAAGCCAATGAAGAAATGACAAGATAAAAGAGCTGAAAAGAAGATTTCAGAGAGCAGCTCGAGAAGATAAAGTCAATTATAATAATGAAATGTGCAAAGACCTGGAGTTAGCAAACCAAAAGGGAAGAACACACTCAGCATTTCTCAACCTGAAGGACCTGAAGAAAACATTTAAGACTTGGGTTGCAATACTGAAAGATTCTACGGGCAATATGTTGAATGATACAGGAAACATCAGAAGAAGATGGAAGGAATACACAGAGTCATTGTACCAAAAGGAACTGGTTGATGTTCACCTGTTTCATGAGGTGGCATATGATCAAGAACCGATGGCACTGAAGGAAGAAGTTAAAGCTGCACTGAGGGAAGTGGTGAAAACCAAGGTATTGACAGAAAACCCCGAGGTGTTTCAACAAACGGATGTCCGCCGAAGGCACTCACTCGGCTATCCCAAGAGATATGGAAGACAGCTACCTGGCCAACTAACTGCAAGAGATCCATATTTGTACCCATTCTAAAAAAAGGGGATCCCACAGAATGTGGAAATTATCAAACAATATCATTAATAATCACACACAAGTAAAATCTTACTGAAGATAATTCAAAAATGGTTGCAGCAGTATATTGATAGAGAACTTCCAGAAATGCAACCTGGATTCAGAAGAGAACGTGGAGTGAGGGATACCATTGCTGATGTCAGACAGATCTTGGCTGAAAGCAAAGAATTCCAGAAAGATGTTTACTTTTGCTTTATTAACTACGCAAAAGCATTCGAATGTGTGGATCATAACAAATTATGGATAACACAGAGAAGAATGGGAATTCCAGAACATTCAATGGTGCTCATGAGGAACTTGTACACAGACCAGGAGGCTGTCATTCGAACAAAACAAGGGGATACTGCATGGCTTAAAATCAAGCAGAGTGCATCAAGGTTGTATCCTTTTACCGTACTTATTCAGTATGTATGCTGAGCAAATAATCCAAGAAGCTGGACTATACAAAGAAGAACATGGTGTTAGGAGTGGAGGAAGATTCATTAACAATGTAAGATATGCTGACAACACAACTTTGCTTGCTGAAAGTGAGGATGACTTGAAGCACTTATTGATGAAGATTAAAGACTACAGTCTGCAGTATGAATTACACCTCAATATAAAGAAAACAAAAGTCCTCATAACTGGACCAATAAGCAGCATCACAATAAATGGAGAAAAGACTGAAGTTGTCAAAGACTTCATATTACTTGATTTTACAATCAATACCAATGGAAGCTCCAGTCAAGATATTATACGATGTATTGCATTGGGCAAATCTGCTACAAAAGACCTCTTTAAAGTGCTGAAGCGCAAAAATGTCTCCTTCAACACTAAAGTGCACCTAACCCAAGCCATGGTATTTTCAACCACCTCATATGCACATGACAGCTAGACAATGAATAAAGAAGATCAAAGAAAAGTTGATGTTTTTGAGTTGTGGTGCTGGCAAAAAGTACTGAAAGTACCATGGACTGCCAAAAGAATGAACAAATCCGTCCTGGAAGAAGTGCAGCCAGAATGCTCCTTGGAAGCGAGAATGGCCAAACTTCATCGCATCTACTTAGTTCATGTTTTCAGAAGGGACCATTTTCTGGAGAAGGATATCATGCTTGGGAAAGTAGAGGGTCAACAAAAAAGGGGAAGGCCCTCAATAAGATGGATTGATACAGTGGCTGCAATGATAGGCTCAGGTGTAACAAGGATTGTGAGGCAGGCACAGGACCAGGCAGTGTTTCATTCAGTTGTACATAAGGCCACTATGAGCTGGAGACAGCTTGATGGCACCTAATAACAACAACAACAGAGGGTACAGTTATGATAACTTCTTAGCTATACTCAACCATCCTGATGGAGTGAGTTGTTAGACCTGCGGGCAGGGACCATGGTCGTAGGGGACATCAAGCTCAACTGACATAACATACTACACAAAAATATTGTTCTACATCTTACTTTGGTGAGTAGCAACGTGGGTCTTAAAAGCTTGCAAGTGTCCATCTAGATGCAACAATGGGTCTCTCCTCATCGAGAACAAAGAGGAATGAAGAAAAACAGATTCATGAAAACAACTAGTCCACGAGACTAGTGGACCATATGAACTTCAGCCTATATGACCATGAGACCAGAACTAAATGGTGCTTGGCTACTCCTGTCAACTATGCAGAAAGGGATAGTACAGGAGTTTCTGGATAGAGTGAGAGAACAATATGGAAACAAAATTCAAAATCCTAAGAAAAGTAAGGTTCCTTGGTCTGTATGATACAGCCTGGGAAGACCCCCTAGACTATGGCGCCTAGTTACCCTTCAAGCCTAGAACTGAACTCACTCCATGGTTTCCAGCCAAACAACAGACAGGCATATAAGGTGAACATTTACACCAGGAACATACACTCCTGAGAACAATCAATCATGGGAGAACAGAAGGGCAGTATTTGCACAGTGGAGAGCTCAGGGGGCAAGAAGGTATAGGAAAGAAGGACACAGGGCAGAGGTAATTACAGGGAGGAAGTGGGAAGAAAGCAAATACACTGTGGGGATTGTAGTCAATGTCATCAAACAAAATTTACGAACTGCTGTGTGGAAAATGAATTTGCTCTGTAAACTTTTCATATAAATCATAATAAAAATTAAATAGAAAAATGGTGCTTTTTATAAAGGACTGTATTATTAAGACAGATGGTAAACTATTACGGTGTTTTAGATTAGAAAATTATACAAAAACTTTGCAATCTCTTTGGGTGAAGAGAAGGGAATGTACCAAATGTGACCGATCAACATGGTGGCAATGAGGAAGCAGAAGACAGAGAGAGGTACATGGGAGGTACAGACAACAAAGATAAACCCTTTTGCATAGACAGTACTGCATTGCCAGTGAGGCAAACATGGGTATACGGGTGGATAGATGGGTGGACAGGCTGAACTATTAGGTACGTCTGTGTAGCGGGGAGTGTACCCAAGACCACGTACAGGGTTGGCAGACAATAGTTCTACAAGTGTATTTGTATGTTCTGTAAGAATTCCCAGGTGTATAGTAGAGTAGACAAGGGACAAGGTTGTAGTCACTTCTTGGTCACAGCCAGCTACCCAGAGGGACCGAGTAGTTGAACCTGTGGGCTCGGGACCATAGTTGCAGGGGACATCAAGCTCAACTGGCATAATATACTACACAAACATTGTCCCACCTCCTACTTTGGCGAGTAGCAACTAGGATCTTAAAAGCAAGCAGCCATCTAGATGCAACGATGGGTCTCTCCTCATCCAGAGCAAAGAATGAAGAAAACCAAAGATTCATGGGAAGAATTAGTCCTAGCAACTGATAACACCATGAGATCTGCAGCCTATACGACTATGAGACCAGAACTAGATGGTGCCCACCTACCACTGTCAAGCACTCAGAGGGGGATCTATGTAGGAGATCCTGGATAAAAATAAATAGAGGGGAGAGCAATGTGGAACAAAACTCAAAATCATTTGGAGAAAAAAAACAGGGGGGGAGACCAGGTTTGCTGGTCTGATAGAGCCTCTTGGGACCACTGAGACCATGGCCCCTAGCTGCCCTTCAGGTCTGGAACTGAACCTACACTTCTATGGCTCCTGCCAAACAAAGACAGGCATATGAGCTGAACATTTACCTGAGGTAGATACACTCCTTGGAGAGAACAATCATGGGAGAAAGAAGGGCTGCTTATGCACAGGAGAGAGCTCAGGGGGCAGGAGTGCGTGGAGGGATGGACACGGGGAAGAGGTGACTGTTGGGAGGAAATGGGAGGAGCTGTTGCATTGGAGTAAATTGTACTCAATGTCCTGAGACAAAGTGTATGTGAGCTGTTGTATGGCAAGTGAATTTGCTCTGTAAACTTTCACCCAAATCACAATGAAAAAAAAATAAAAAACACTTTCCAATCTCAACTCTCCCCATTATCAATCTAGAGATTTTTATCAAACTAGTTTCTTATTTTTACTTTTTAACAGCAATTAGGGCTGCAGATCTATTAACACTTGCCCCTGAAATTTCAATATTCTGAGACTCTTCACAAAATAATGAAAACTTACAATTCAAGTATCTATAAAAAACTAAAATAAAATAACTGGGAAGTTTCTCAAAGTCACAATCAACTCAAGAGCAGTGGGCTGTGTTTTGGTTTGGCTTAGAGAAATATTAAAAGCAAGAATTTATCACTTAAGCAATATGCCAACTATTTTGAGACACAAGCATTACTACAGAGCATCAAAACAGGTGAGCAAAAAATAAGATCAGCAATTTCTGACCAATACTATCTATACATTTTGATGCTAAATTATTTCACATGGTAATGGAATTTATTTAAAATGAATCTAGCTCCTGTTGTTCAATTACTAAGCAGTTTTACATCTTAAAATCTAAATTTCAAAAAATTGTCTATTTTTACTGAAATTCTTCCCAAATAAGAGAAAATCTTCACATACCTATATTATATGTTAATGTAACAATTTATTCTTCTAAGAAAGGAAAAATCAAATACAATTTGCATTTTGTTTAAAAATTCTAAAAATGACTATGTTCTTCAAGCAGGCATGTTTGAATGAAAATAATGATACAACTGATTCAAATATCTGACATGTAAAGTTCCTATTTTGCTTTTAATTTAGTTAACAGTAAGTCTCAGGGAGGCTATTATAGCAATATATTAAACTGTAATGTTCTTAACATTAAGGAAAAAATATCACCAAGGTATTTGTAAAACAAAGAATACGTAACAGGCATCTTTAGAACAAATATTCTATCTAATAAGGTGATACAGATACTTGATCAAAATCAGGGTCAATTAAAGATGTTATCTTTAAAACATATATATTCTTATTCAGATATAAGTCAGAAACAAAATACCTTCATTAATTTTATATACTAATTACCAAAATGACTTTTTTCCCTTTTTCATTAAGAAAACTAAAAATAACTACCGAAACTAGACAAGTCAGTATTTTACACACACACACACACACACACACACACAATATGTTGCTATTGTTGTTGTTATGTGCCGTCGAGTCTACCCTGACTCATAGCGACCCCTCCTTGGGTTGCTGAGGCAGTATTACTACGGAAGTAGATTGCCCAACCTTCTTTCTGAGGAGTCTAATCTTCAAATATCATAAAAACATTGAACGTTCCTAGACTTTATTTTCAAGAGCACAGTCTACTGTTTCCAAGGTTCAACTAGCTTCTTTCTTAGAAGATATCTTGTAAGAGTTAAACTATTGGAGTTTGGAGATTTCTAAATCTATGAAAGAAAGAGAGGGGAAAAAAAAATTGTAGCCCATCTTGAGTACTTAAAATACAAAGATAAAACATGTTCCACATGTATTTTTCCACGATTTCCTCAACACCTTTTACTTTCATTTTTTAAATTAAACTTTAAATCACCTTTAACACAATCAGCTAACTTACAGTATTAGTTGGATCTTCTTGTAAAATTCGGTCATAAAGCTGTATAGCATCATCATATCTATTTAAAAAGATAAAAAATATCAAGAATCATAACCTTAAAAACAGAGAGATAAACAGTAAAAGAGAAAAAGACTAAATTGACAGGGTTTAAAATCTCTCACTATATAGAGAATGCATTTACAACTGCAATCCAAGTCTTTCCCTACCTTCGTTTAATAGTAAAAGTTTGCTCCAGTTCAATTTAAAATAAAAACATGTATAAAATTTCTATAGAAAAACCTACTCCTGAAATATACTGATGTAATTTTGCCTAAATAGAGGTAAGAATTAGCAATATAAAAGACATCTTTGAAAGTCTAGTCTAGTTTAGAATTATAGCCTATAAAACAATTGTTGTTTGTTGTTGTTACGTGCCATCGAGTCAGACCCGACTCATAACGACCCCTCCTTGGGTTTCCGAGGCAGTATCACTACGGAAGTAGATTGCCCCATCTTCCTTCCGAGGAGTGGCTGGTGGGTTTGAACCGCCAGCCTTCTGGTTAGCAGTCAAGTGCCTTAGCCACTATGCTACCAGAGCTCCCACTAAGACACTAGGTAAGATTTAAACATGGAGAATGATAGGAGAACTTCTTCCTGTGGGCCTTCTTATTTCTCAAGGAATAAGAAGAATAGCAAAAACCAAGCAGATAATTGTTGTTGTTGTTATGTGCCATCGAGTCAAACCCGACTCACAGCGACCCCTCCTTGGGTTTCCAAGGCAGTATCACTACGGAAGTAGGATTGACCAACCTTCCTTCCGAGGAGTGGCTGGTGGGTTTGAACTGCCAGCCGTCTGGTTAGCAGGCAAGTGTCTTAGCCACTATGCTACCAGAGCTCCCAAGCAGATAATATCAGAACATAAATAGAAAATAAACATACAAATATTTTGTATTACCATGATGGCATCTTAAAAGTTAAGACTGGGTAGCACTACACAATTTGAGTGTCCATGTTTATATTTGTGATTATGATCACACAATAAGTAAGAATACATTAAATTGTAGCACACTACTGAGAAAAATAAAAACGAACTTAGCTCATAAATGTGTCCATGGCACACAAAGGCCAAATGCCATCACTGTACATTTAGTAAACCAGACTTTGCAGTAGGCACAAATAAAGAAAACTAGTTTTGGCATTGAATATGGTAATATAGTAGGTATGTTAGCCTCATAAGAACTTGGAACTGAACATAAACTGAATATAAAATCGTAAAACAAAACAGTAACACAGATCCAGTACAGAAAGGCAAATTAAAGTTCTAGAGCAGGAATTCTCTCATAAGACACAGTAGATGAGGATCATCTGAGCATCTTTTTTTTTGACTATTTAACTTCCATTTGCTTTGAGTCTAATTTAAATGGTTTTTTTTTTTTTTGGTAAATTATGTAAGATTTCCTGAATAGAAATTATCATTAAAAATAATAGCCAATGTATCTCATGTGTCCTATACATACTACATACATCATTATAAAGTCCCAAAACAACCCTGAGAAATTGGCATTATCTTTGTTTTATGTAACTGTGAGGCTGAAAAGGTTTAAAGAAGTAAAATACAGTGAAACCTGCAAGAGATACAACTCAACAGGACTGCCCTGTTTTTCCAGGTCTCCCAAATTTCCCATATTTCAGTTTTCCTTCTCTGACTGGTTTGTCCTTACACAGGTTTCAACTTCTACATGTGTTACCGTAATTTGCCAGATCAATGGCTACTAAAGGCTAGAAGCAGAATTTGAAACCAGTTCTTACTCCATAGAGTGATTCCACTTCACTAGGCTAAAGATGGCAAATGGGTTGCACTGTCACGTCAAATTCAACATAGGCTTTACGTTGATTAGAACTCTGACACTATTCTGAAGCCCAGCAGCAAAAAGACCTTGTACGACTAATGATATTGTCATGGATGTAGGACATCTTAAAAAGGCCAGAGGCTTTGCCAATTTTAGACAGGTTCACACTGTTTACAAGATTCTGTTACCTCTCCATGGCTTCAAATCTCATGCCAGTTAGTCGTTTGACTCTGTGACTGCCAGGAAACTGTCTTCTCAATTCCTGAAGACAAAACTGAAAAAATTATTAGTAAGACTGACTTGAAGAGTATTTATATGTTAAATGAGCTACAGCAATGATCTACAAACTCTTTCGTATATCTTTTTAATTTCATTAGTATTACCCAATGATATTAAATTAATCAGTAACAAATAATGGGGTAAAATTATGTAATTATGAACTTACAGTGAAGGCAGCAATCAGTTCTCAGAAAACGATCATGGTCTCAACAGGGAAAATGAGCAGACCACGAGGTCTACCAATGACTCTTCAAATACCATATTACTCCTTAAAAATTCTTTCATACAGTGTCAGGTCCCTACTTAAATGCCTACAGCTTCCTATTAGCAATTTATTTAATATCTAACTATATTTAACAATCACCTAACTATATTATATATAATTCCACTTGGTATGCTACTTCTTATAAAAAGAATTATTTACTCCAACTGGCTGGTTTCCCCCTAACTACCTCACAAGCTTCCACAATATCCATTGTATTTTTACACTGCACAAATAGAATAACCTTCTAATCAACCTCTGATTAGCTTTAAACTTTTTGTCGAGCTTATGCCCTACTTCTTCCTTTCAGCCTCCTTGAACATGCCATTCTGATTTCTATCTTCTATAGATTTCTAAAGAACTCACTGCTGACACCATAGCATTTATTCTTACATGAAGTTATCATTATTTACTTGCTTTTCTAATTGCTGTTATCTGTGAATGTGTGTTTTCTTCATATCTGCAGTGTAAGCATTCTGTTGGAAAGAATTAGGTTCTTTGGTAGTCATCTCAAGGGTCTAGCACAATCTTATGAGCACTTTAATTTTGCTCTGTAACAATTATACATAAACAAACATCTTGTCAGTCCACATATGCTGATTTTAGATCAGAAGATGCCACAACTCACTGCCATTGAGTCATTCAACTCATAGCAAGTCGAATCACAGAGAGCCCTTCTTGGATTTCCGAGGCGGTATCTCTACAGAAGTAGAATGTCCAGTCTTCCGTCCAAGGAGTGGCTGGTTGATTTGAACCACCAGCCTTGTGGTCAGCAGTCAAATGCCTTAGGCACTATGCTACCAGAGCTTCTGCCCATCAACTCAACTAAATAAACTAACAACTACTATGTTCTCAGCAATATATACATCTTATAGAAGCCTTGGAAACATTAAGAATGTTAAGGATTATACAAATGGTCCATTCTTGTGCCCCAAAGTACATATAACTAAAAAGTTCCTAACTGGTGATGAGGAAGAGCTGGTAGCACAGTGCCTAAGGCACTTGACTGCTAACCAGAAGGCTGGCGGTTCAAACCC